AGAACTTTAAATAATTTTCTATATGCTATATACCATCTTCTTCCACTTTAATATTTAAGCATAGCATATCCAACTTCAATCCCAACTAACCTCTTCACCTGAGCCTAGACGCTCTTGGTCATTTACCTCAATATTCTTCACACCTATATTTAGCCTAAAGCTGTATGTGAGCAAATAATTTCATGTATGACATAATTTAATTTATTTGAAACATGGAAGTGAATCACACAGGACCGTCACTGGTGTCAAAAGAAAACACAGTTAAGAGAACTACAAAATAAAAATGATGTTAAATACTGAATGTGTGATAGGCCTTCTGGTCTACAAACAGGATTGATATCAGATATCAAAGATAGGAAGAAAGCAATAACTTGCCGAAGTAAACAGTGGTAATTCATAGTATGCAGGCACCTTGATCTCAAAGAATAAACCCCTACGTACTGTGTCAATCATAAGACTATATACAGCAAAACAAAACAAATATTTAAAAAAAAAAAAAAAGCCAATAAAAAAAATAAAGAAAGATGATGTAAACAAAATAAGCAACTAACTTATAGCTGATTATCAGCCCCAATGATTTTAAGAGAATATTGTGAAAAAGAAAAACCACTTTTAAATCATGTCAGTAGATCAGAGACCATGTTGTCCACATGTGTGTGAAACAACTAGATTGAAGAAAGAAGTGAAACGAAACAAAAGCAGGACCATGGCACTTTTAGGATGAGGTCATTTGGAGGCCTGCTAAGTCTGGTTGCTTCTTCATTGCTAGTTGTTATATTCTGCTGTGATTAAAGCATCCTAAAGTTAATTGGCATGGAGTAGTTTGATCAACTGAAAATTTTCCTCAGCATAGTTTCATTTTATGGTTGACCGTGCATTGTAGATTGAAGACAAAAGTCTTAATTGGCATTGAAAGGTATGTTGAGCTGCAATGCTGCTTCTGTGGGACAGGTACAGCAAAAATGGAGTATCTTTTCTTTAAATGTGAGTTTTCCATTAGTATTTGGAAGCTTGCCCTGGAATACCTTCACATCAGCAGGGATCCCATGTCGAGGAGTAATGAATGGAGACGGGTGCAGAGACATGGCAAAGGGAGAGCTATCTATAAAGGAATATTCATGCTGCATTCGCTGCTTAAATATACTACATATGGCAGAAGAGGAACATGAGACTGTTTCAAGAAAAGTCAAGTACTGTACAGAATATCTATAGGAGAATCTCTTATTTTTTGTAGCTTTAATTTTGAGCATTGAGTAATGTATTGACCCTGGGCATGCCTGGGTGATTTTTGTGGATATGTCTTTTCATGCAATGGAAGACTTGCCATTTTTTTATTTAAAAAAAAAAAAAAGAAGTGAAAATGAAAGAATGAACACCATTGATCTTTAATTACATTGACCATTAACTGATTAATGAAAGGGTTAAAAATGTCTCATAGCCTGACAATAACTGGACAGTTTCTTGTTAGAATCCAAGATCCAGCCCTAAACATGAACCCATTCAGTGACACACGGCATTCCAGTGAAAGACTGCTGATTCATGATCCAGGTGCTGGTTTAGCACTTGCAATTCTCTACTCATTAAGTTGAAAGTATTGACATTTAACAAAATGTATAGTTTAGCAAAGAAAGAGATCTGAAAAGTGGAAGTAGAATGGAGAATGAATTCTGTCCTAGAGGCTAAAAAATGTAGCTTTCCTTGATAGGCTTTGTGAATTAAAAAAAAAAAAAAATTACATAACAAGCTAGACACAAAATGAGCATCCTTTAAGGCAAAAATAAATTGAAGCTAAAGAAAGTAGCTTTTCTTAATAGGATTTGTGAATTTAAAAGGAAGAAAATGAAAAAAACAAATCATAACAAGCTAGAAAAAAAAAAAAAAAAGGAACCTAGATTTTCTTTTTAAAAACATTGCATCCTTTTAAATTCTAATACTTAAAAAAAAAGCTAAAGAACGTAGCTTCTCTTAATAGGTTTTGTGAATTAAAAAAAAAAAAAAAACCAACAACAACTTACATAACAAGCTATACACAAAATGAGCATCCCTTTAAAATAGAAGGCAAAAAAATTAGACCTCCTCTCCTTGATGGTTTCAAAGTTCCAGCCCTAAATTACAAAAGACATACAAAAACTTGAAATCCCTGCTGTGGTTACTCAGATGTATCCCTAGATTATAAAAACGTAAGGATTTTTCTTAAGTTGATTGAAAACTTAGAAAATAAGTTATCTAGCGGAAAACTTTAGCACATATAGGTTACATATCAAATGGAATTAAATATGAAAATAGGTAGATTGAAAAGGGAAAAAATCATCTCAAGATTGATCACAAAGATCTAGCCTTGACCCAAAATATCATTCTATTTTTCAAACAAAATGCTTCATACAGAAATATGACTCATATTATAAAGATTTGAGGAGAGGGAAGTGAAGGAGTTGAAAAGAGAGCAAGGATAGAAGTTCTCTTGATATCTCTTTCAGAGATGTTGGCCCAAACCATAAAAAGGCGGGATCTTTGTGAAAAGATTCACATGGAGGCAATCACCCAAGATTTAAAATGAATTAAGACAACTAACATGAAGATAAAAGATCAAACCTTCACCCCTCCCCCCACCATGATTAGTCATGGAGACCTAGCCCCATTGAGGATTCTAGCCAAAATGCTTCATAGAAAATTGTGACCAAAAAGTAGTGGATGCATACAATTTATATACATTCTAGATCTTAAGTATAAAGTAAGTCAAAATGTCCATGAAACTGGTCTATCAACTCTCATATTATTCAAAAGGACCATTTTTTTTGGGGCCATCCACATCAAAGGACTTCATTTCTCTTAAACACAAGGTATCCTGGGTAAACATCACAAAAGAATACAACATGGAAAACCAATCTCCAATCAAACAGAACATAAAAGATAAAAGAGAACAGAATAAAAATAAATGAGTTTCCAAAAATTATAAAAACTAAATTCCTAGGCAACAAAATCGTGTCATTGAGACTTAAACCAAACAAATCCAAACACCAAACCCCTAGATGGTGAAAGGAAACTCCATCTTAGGACACAAAACAACACACACAACATCAAAGAATCACAACATAAGCAAAGGCACAAGATAATTATAACACACTAATCTAAGACATAAGTAGACATAAAAAGAGCAAAGAGAAAGGTAGCTAATCCATACCCAAATAATTGATTGTGAAAGGAACCGCAGGGAACAAGAAACAAAAGAGGCTATGGTGCAAAAAGACACTCTCTGAAACCAGCCACAGACTCCAAAACTCAAACTCATCTGAGTAGGCTGAGCTTCCATGCAAAATGATAGAGAAGGTGTGCCGTATAAGGTGAATGGATGCGGTAGTGTTTGGGAATCCTTGTGGGTTTCTGACGGAAGTTTCCAGTGATGGGTATGAATCATTGTTACAAGTGTGTAAGAATGGACTAGTATCGTAGTATTGGGTCATGGTTTGCTGCTGACCAGTTGTACACCCTGCGCCGGAAGGCCCTCCCCTGAGTAAGCTCCGGATCAATCCTCCCCGCATTCTCCTCATTCCCTCTCTAAAAACCTTTTCTCCCTTCTCTTCTTCCTCTATGATTTTCTCTCTATATATCTGAATTTGTATGGAAAGAAATCCTGTCATATCTATGAGCGCCATTCCTTCTTCGCTCCTCCCACACAATGAATTTCATTTTTGTTCAATTTTTTTTAATTTATTTTTCCCTCATTTTTTACCCTTCTCTTTTTCGCCAATTCCTCATTTTTCACTTAATTTTGTAAATTTCTACACAACAAATTCTTATCTGCCTTTTTTTTAATAAATTTCATTTTATTCGCCATTTCATTTTTTTTTTTTGTTTCTACTGAAAATAAAATTATATAAATTGGTAGCCTAAGCTCTCATAAATATGGTTGCAATTTTTAGTTTTTAATTTTTGATTTTGATCATCAAAATCTAAGGGCCCATTTAATAATTATTGTTGTTGTTTTGTTTCTTATTTTTGTTGTTAAAAAATTTGAATAATTAAATTGATAATTAAAAACTAAAA